TGGTCTAAAGTGACATTTAAGGCCACTGTTTCTGTGTTGATTCTGTCTGGAGGATCTGTCCATTGGTGACAATGGGGTGTTGAAGTCCCCTACTACAATAGTGTTACTGTTGATCTCTGTCTTTATGTCTGTCAAAAATCTGTTTTATATATTTAGGAGCTCCTATGTTGGGTGCATAGATGTTTACTAGGGTTACATCCTCTTGTTGAATCGATCCCTTTATAATTATATAGTGCCCTTTTTTGTCTTTTATTGTAGTCTTCATTTTAAGTCTTTTTTGTCTGAAATAAGTACTGCTACTTCAGATTTTTTCTTTTTTCCCTTTGCGTGAAATATCTTAGTGCATTCCTTTATTTTCAGTGTGTGTGTGTGTCTCTTTTGATCTGAGATGAGTCTCTTGTAAACAGCATATGCATGGGTCCTATTTTCTTATCCACTCAGCTACTCTATGTCTTTTGCTTGGAGTATTTAGTCCATTCACATTCAAAGTGATTATTGATAGGTGCATATTTATTGCCATTTTGTTATTTGTATTTCTGGTCTTCCTGGGTTAGCTTGTTTTCCCCTTTCTTCTGTTAAAAAAGCCCTTTTAACATTTCCTGAAATGCTGGCTTGGTGGTAATGAATTCCTTAAGCTTATTCTTTTCTGAGAAGCTCTTTATCTCTCCTTCAATTTTAAGTGATAGCCATGCTGGGTAGAGCAGTCTTGGTTGTAGGCCTTTATTTTGCATCACTTTGAATATTTTCTGCCACTTGCTTCTGACCTGCAGAGTTTCTGTAGAAAAGTCAGCTGTTAGTCTTAGAGGAGTTCCTTTGTGTGTAACATGCTGTCTTTCTCTTGGTACTTTTAGGATTCTGTCTTTGTCTTTACCTATTCCTGTTTTAACTATGATGTGTCTTGATGTGGACCTGTTTGGGTTGGTTGGAACTCTCTGCACTTCCCAGGCTTGTATGTCTATTTCCTTCACCAGGGTAAGGAAGTTTTCAGTCATTATTTCTTCAAATACATTCTCAATTCTTTGCTTCTCCTCTTCTACTTCTGGTATTCCTATGATGCGAATGTTGTTGCGCTTGATGTTGTCCCACAGGTCTCTTAAACTATTTTCATTGTTTTTTATTCTTTTTTATTGTTGTTAGAACTGGGTGATTTCTGCTATTTTGTCTTCTAAGTCGTTGATCCAATCCTCTGCTTCATCTAATCTTCTTGTGATTCCTTGAGTGTGTTCTTCATTTCAGTTATTTTATCCTTTTTTTTAAAGGTGGGGACAGTTCTGTGATGATATTTATTTTATTTATTTATTTAGTTTAAGGAGGGGCAGCTCACAGTGGCCCATGTGGGAATCCAACCAGCAACCTTGGAGTTATCAACACCATACTCTAACCAACTGAGCTAACTGGCCACACCCCGTTATTTTATTCTTTAGCTCTAACTGGTAGGTTTTTTTTTTATGATTTCCCTGTCCTTCTTATGTCCTCACTAAGTTTCATAAACATTCTTATCATCAGTGTTCTAAACTCTGTCTCTGAAATGTTGGATACCCCTGTTTCATTTAGTTCCATTTATAAAGGTTTCTTCTGATCTTTTACTTGGGACATGTTTCTTTGTTTCTTCATTCTGGCTGTCGCTCTGTGATTGCTTTGACGTATTAGATAGATCACCTATGCCTCTCAGTCATTGCTGGGTGCTCTTGTAGTATGTGTCCTTTATATTTGGATTGCACAGTCTCCCTATTCTCCTGTCCCATGTGTTCCAGAGGTGTCACTGTTGAAGTTGCTCTTTAATTGCTTTTGGCTTGTCAAAGTGTGGGATTGACCCTCAGACTGATAAGCTGGGAGAATTAGCTCTATTCACAGTGTATGAGATGCTGTGTGGAGGTTAATCCCCTCAGAGGAGGCTTGGCCACTCTGGGTTCTTGTGTCTGGGGAAAATATCCTTTGAGAATGGCACTTGTAGGTTCAACCAGGTAGTACTCTGGTTTTGTTAAACACTGCCCTCTGGGTATATTGGTTCTGCTATCTCTTGGGCAGGGCTCCCACTCAGAGTCATTTCAGACTTGCCTGTTCCTGGTCCATAGCTACGTGGTAGGTGCCTCAAGGCTGTATGCAGTTGGCTGCTGCCCGTGCTAGACCTGGGGTCATGTGGGCATGGTCTCTGTGTGAACTGAAGCTGGCAGCCCCCTATATTGGTCCAAGGCAGTTTAGGAAAAGGCCCAGGGCCCCCTAGGCCTGTCGCCACCTGTCAGATGCCAGTAAGGCCCACCTATTGAAAGAGGCTTTTTAGAGGCGTGTGTCTGGCTATTTGACCCAGTATTGAGGGTGCCTTTGTGATGTGGCACTAGCTTGGCAGGATGGAGTTCAAGTGAGTTATGCAATGTGATTGGTAGCTTTTAAAATGTTAATGCAGATTCAGGTCTTATGCCAATACCTGGCCTGTGACCCCCTTGTATAGTGTCCCAAACGCACTACAGCCAGCCTCCACCTCACACTCACAGATTCACAAAAGCTGCTCCCAAGTGGCTGTGGTGCAAGTTTGTGGTCACTGAAAACCACAAAAATTACCCCAGGGCTCTGCAGACCACCTTCTGTTGTAAAAAACCTTTTCCACAGTTTATGGGGGTGGGGCCAGTCACCCTGGCACCCCGATTGCCCTTGGCAATGCAGTTGTAGGTGGGTGAGGTGGTGTTACAGGTGCGTAAAGGCTGTGGTCAGTAGTTTCTACAAATTCAGTGTAGTCTCAGCTCCTGGACCAGTCTAGGTCCGTGTCCACTCCATAAAACAAAAACAAAGCAAGGCAACCCAACACCAAAAAACAAATGCACTCTCACAGAACCTCAATAAGCAGTGATCAGACAGGAGAAACAAAAGTATATGAAAGAAACACAAACACAAATACAAAAACAGGAGAACAAGACAGAAAACCAGTGACCAAAGCAATATCCAGATAAACAAGTCTGAGAAAATACGACAAAAACAAAACAGATAGAAGAAAAGAAGGAAAAGAAACGAAAAAGATGAAAGAGAAAGAAAAGGAAAAAAAATAATAAAGAAAAAAGAGGAAAAAAAAAGAAGACTCACCTCCTGCTTTAATCTGCAGACCACTTGCTCAGCAATAGAGAGTCTCATGGCAACTCAGCACCAGCTGTGTTGGGGGGAAGCGCTCAACGCATCATGCACTGGCCTCCCTCTCAGGCTTGCAGTGAACTTCCCGAAATTAGTTGCTGTGTGCTCTGGAACCGTGCTCACCACCAAAAATATTCAGAGGTTGCTGAGGGTTGTCTGCTGCTGCAAAAAGCCCTCTGTGTCCTGCAGAGGTGGGGACCAGACACCAGGGGCTTAGGGTGCCCTGGGCAACACAGCTCTAGGTGGGTGGGGCAGGCCCTCAAGGCATCACAGGGTGTGGTCAGTGGCCCCCACCAAGTCAGAGCAGCATGCGCTCCTGCACTGGCAACCACCCTGCACAAACGCATCAGGAATGCCTCATGTATAAAATTTTTAAAGGATATTATTCACATAATGGTGATTATGTAAAAATATATTTATGGCTTTTGAATAATTTTTAAATTATTGTGAGGGACAGGATTGGCTTTTCCAGGGGTGCGCACACTTTTGAGACGGAACGTACCTAAAAAGCCATATATGGCTTGGGAGCCGCAGTTTGCCAACCCCTGGAGAGTAAGGAGAAGAGTTTAATTTGACTAGGGTTGCAGTTTTATCAAGAGATTGCATGATATAAAAAATAACAAGGGATTTAAAAGTGTTAAGTGACAATAAGAGAAGCAAGGACATAAAGGGTTCACTGGGATAGTGAAAAGGAGCAGGAGCAATGGATTATAGGTCTTGGTGGATTTTAGGGATTGTTGGAATGGGTTACTAGAAGGAGTGAGCTAGAAAGATAAAGATGTTTGTAGGATGCTTGAAGTTGCAGTTAAAGAAGGTTTGTAGTTACTGTTTTTGAAAGTTTAAATTGAGTAGCTAAGGTAAGTGGAGTACAAGTACATGGGAGGACAGGAGTTCAATGAACTAAGAGGCCAAGGTATTCACATTGACATTGATATCACCACAAGTTACTATGTCTGTATAAAATTGAACCATTGGTACTTTGAATCGCAATCCTAGAGACCTCCTGCCATTTGACATGGAATCAAATATTTCATATGAATTTTGAACCAGCTGAAATTTTCCATTAGTGTACTATTTTGCAATCTACACATTAATGAGTTTTTAACCAATAATATTTTAAGATCATTTGTTAAAATTCCAATCAAATGTACACAACAAGAATGATTTAATAGCCTTGCTTGGACTTACCAATCTAATAACAAGCATAATTCCAACATTTATTTACTACTGTTTTACAACCATGTGAATTTAAAAAAAAGCATAAGAAATAGACTCTCGCCTAAAGGAATTAAAAATCTTGTGGATTACCATATAGTAGCTAACAGAAAGGAAGTTTTATTGTATAATGCCTCATCCTAGAAGTTATTGGGTCTAAAATGGGAAATTATTTAATTAAAGCCACTCAAAGTTAATGTGAAGATTGTTGAAGAAGTGGATGTAGAACTAAACTCAAAAGGTAATCTTTGATGATTCAGAGAATCTAAAACATTAGAAATACTTTTATCCTGGGCCAAAAGTCAGGTTTACCAGATGTCAAATTTTAGAAGCATATGTGTATATATGTATTATGTATGTGTGTACATGTATATTTACCTATACATAAGTGTATATATACACATAGACATACACATTTCTATTTGGTTTATATTTGAATCTTTTTCAGTATTCCTACAAACTTTCTTTTATCACTGCATTTTTCTGAAAACATGATCATTGATTGTAGAATTACTACACTCAATGTAAATGAAATCTTAACTAAAAGGAAAAGGCATAATGGTGGAAATAGCTTGTAAAATGTAAAATATTTCATAAGATACTGTATATTTGTTGTATGTTTAACTTTTGACTCATCTAACAAATTATAATTATCTTTTCAAAAGATATTTGCAAAGAATTGAAGACTATGAGAACTTGCAAGAAATCCATTTCATCCCAATCAAAATATGTGTCTTTCTTCATCCTTGGGCAGACTGTGCAGGGAATAGCAGGAATGTCTCTTTATGGCCTTGGAACATGTTTTCTTGATGATAGCGTTGCCACATATTCAGCTGGTATTTATCTAGGCAAGTTTTTTTCCCCCTTCTAATATGATTGAACTATTCTGAGTATTTATTGAACTTCTATATTTTGGTGTGCATATCTAAACTGATATATAAGTGCTAATTATTACTCCCTATAATGAATGACATTGTAATAAATGATAACTGGTATGCTTAACTTCAAAATCACATTGAGTTGCTTAATTCTGAGGAACCGCTTGAGATTTAGAATTGTAGACAAGTTATCTGCTCACTCTAAAAGCTATAGAGCATTAGGAAAAATACATTTTTAAGTAATAAAAACTATATTCTTTTTATATATATCACATATATCTGTATAACACATATATTTAAATATCTGTCATGTAAAATTATACAGGCTGCAGTTCATTTCTCTAGGGAAAAAAAAATCTCAAAATTACCAGATTGAATTGCTTGAGTAGTTATATGTTTAAACTTTGGGGATATATGTGGGAAGTTGCTGCCATCATGGCCATAAGGAAATGGAAATATTGTTTTATGCCTCCTCAGTACTCGAGTCAGTGTGGTGCTGAAATAATCATCATAATTGCACTAAGTTCTTTACATACATTAACTCAGTCTTTTTGGGGTGTCAGACATTTGGAAGTTAATGAAAACTAACCTTGTTTATCCCATTGTGGATAGAAGTGATATTTAATTGACTACAGGGTAACATCCTCTATTTACAGTGCTTTGTGCTACTCTGTCCTACAGTAAGTAACCCTGGGTTATATCCAAGAATAATCTGTACTTCCTTATATTGCAATAGCTTCTAGTCCTGGTAGGTCATCTATTTGGACAGGATTATTTAAATATCATTTTTGAAAAGGAATTTTAAAGTTATTTTTCTATACATATTATGAAGTTGACTTAAAAGGAAATAGCATTTTGCACCAAAATAATTATTTCCCCACCAGAGGTAAGGAAAGTGATGCCAATGAACTAAAATAGGTGATATTCATATTTATATTTGCTTTTTGCAATAACTTCTTGTGCAGTGATTTATTAGTCTTGGTGGAGGTGGCAACGGATATATTTGTTTTACTTTTGGTTCTACTAAATAACAATTAAACACACCTCTATGCACTACAGAGAGAACCTTACTGTATTGCCACCTCCTGCTACCTTGACAGCTAAGGTGAAAGATGCAAAGGTGATGATAATGTATCATTATAAAGTATCATTTTGTTTTAGTACCACAAATTAAAGTAAAATAAGGTAAATTGAATTTATATTTATATTTAATATATATATATATACATATATATTTATATTACATTAAATATATAGATTAAGTAAGGTACAGTGAATTATATATTTTAATTATTTGAGTTTCTCTAATATATGCACTGGATAATATGTATGATGGTTGATTTTATATGTCAGCTTGGCTATGTTATGGCAACTAGTTTTTTGGTCAAACGGTCTATGCTTCTGAGATATTTTGTAGATATGACTAACATTCACAATCAGTAGACTTTGAAGAAAGCAGATTACCTTCCATAATGTGGGTGAGACTCACTCAGTCAGTTGAAGCTTTTCCGAATAAAAATTGAGGTTTCCCAAAGAAGCAGCAAATCCATAGAAACTTTGCCTGAGTTTTTCCAGCCTGCTGGCCTGCCCTATGGGTTTGACTTAATTCTAGACTCAAAACTGTAACATAAACTCTTACCTGGATTTCCAGCCTGCCAGTCTGGTCATAAAAATTTGGACTTGCCAACCCCCAGCCAATTCCTTAAAAATCTCTCTCTCTCACATGCATGCTCCAGATATCTTACTGGTTCTGTTTCTCTGGAGAATACTGACTGATAAAGTATGCTATGAAGCTTGCAGAAGTAATCCATTCCAGTGTTGTAATTTTTGTTATGACAAAGCTGGTTTACACAGCTGTTTGGTGTTTAATATTCATTTTATAGGCATTGTGGACGCTTCGCTAATAATTGGGTATGCTTTGGGTTATGCGATAGGAGCACCCCTGGTTAAGCCCTCTGTGAATAGTACTTTTGATAAAAGGTAAGCCATTTTCTTTCATTTTTTTGTTTACATTGTGTAAAATATTTATTGAGTAGACACTGTAGGTTATAAATATATATATATATTTAATTTGTAATTATATTTTTTAGAAAAAATATTTGTAAATGCGAGTGATATATACACATATATACATATTAATACATCTAAGCTCAGAGCTTGTGCTCTTAACTAACTGAGCCACTTGGCTGGCCCCTCTAATACATTTTAACGTGGTAAACAAGCGATGTCTTGCAATATGAGTAGTTTATTTCTGGAGCAAATTTTGTTCACAAACCAAGGTATTACTATATTTTGATTTGAAATACTTGAATTTATGTGCCAAATTAGGAATAATTATTATTTTTCCATGCAAGAATATAGTATGTTGCTGTATTTTCTCTGTTTTTCTTTTCTGCCCTTCAATAAAGTTTTATGATTTTCTTTATTGAAGATATCCCATTAAGCCCATTCCTAGTGATTTCATGCATTTTTGTTACTATTGTGCATAGCATCTTTGTATTATTACATTTACTTTTAGTAGGAAGAAATATTGATTTATAAGTTTGTATTATATATATGTATTACTGTATTAAATTTTTGTGCTTTGTAGTTTTTTTCAATTTATTTCCCTCAATTTTTAGGTACTCAATTATTTACACATATGAGTATGTAATAATCATATTATATGTTATATAATGCATATAGTTAGAATACGTACCTGGGTTCAAATACAAAAAAAATAAAATTTCTGAATGTAATTGAGCAAACATGTAGCTGTATTAACAAGCTAGAGTTGAAACTCCCTGGGCATTGCATACAGCCTACTGGATAATGGAAATCAAGATTGCAACCCTGTGTCATTGCAAATTGTAATTTGTATCCCTGAATAATGTAGCAGACAACCCCTTGGTTGTCTGTCAATAAAACTGTGAATACTCCCCACATTCTATTAGAGACAGGGCCTATACATAAGATACTTATCAGGTTTCTGTTGACAGTAGTCACCTGTGAGAAACCAGAACTTCCAAAATTGTGGTTCCTGGGGATGTGGGCATTTTCCCATGATGGCAGGTTTCCCACAATGTCTTAAATGTGTGTGAAATTGCAGACAATGGCAGCTGTGTAGTAATCGACTTCCCCACATCTTCTCCCTAAATGATACAAAATAACTTCATAACTATGAAAATTCTCTGCAAAATCATGGCCTCAGCATCATTGAAGACAAAGAATGTTGAAATTGTAAAATAACTGTGAGTTAAAAAAGAAAATAAAACAATCCCAGCACAGGATCCTTCACAGTCCCATCCTACTCTGCCCACTGCAAGACTTTGTGGTTTACAAAGGTGAACCAAGAAAAAAGTGCGTGTAAGAGAGGACAATAGCTAGCAAAGGTTCCCAAGGGTAACTAGGTATGACCAATAAAAGGAAATTCATTTTTAGTCTGAGAGTTCAGAGAAGGGACTATAAGAAAGAGATTTCATAATATATGTGATTTAAAGGGTCAGATGCCAGATAAAGGGCTAGTTGTGCAACTTACAGGGGAGATTTTCACTAAAGGGCTGGGTACGTGGTTTAAAGGGGCAGGATTAATTTTAAAAGAGGTGAAATCTAAAGGAATAGTCTTCCAAGTGCATAGCTTCTTTTGGAGAAAAATGTTAAACAGGATCAAAGAATTACTCTTCACCACCTCAGTGGACAGGGGAGGAAAAGGAAAGGGAAAAATTTAGGATCCTGTAGGACAAAAGGGAGGTACATAATTGGAGGACTCACAACCATTCACCCTCAGCAAAACAAACAACAAGGACAAGCTAACAAAAATTGTTCCATTTCTCTGTTTCTCAATTTCTTAATTATGGCTTTGTAATAAAATACAGAAAATTTAGATTTTTCTTTTTTCTTTATTAAAGCATTGGAGATAGTAATAATGAATACTGGCTGCAGACGTGGTGGATTCGTTTTGTTTTTGTCTCAATAATTGCGTGGTCTACATTAATACCACTGTCCTGTTTTCCACGCCATATACAAGGTGACTATAACAATATAATTCATTAAAGGGCAGTAGATTCCCCACCCCATCGTCATCCTCCTTTCTCAGAATATGGCTGAGCTATATTTTTTTCTGTCATGGAGACACAGAGACATGTGATAGTGTTATTTGAAGCCTTATGTGACCAGATACTATTTTATTTATATACCAGATTTTCATTAGTACGTATTTTTGCTTCCTGTCAATTTTCTTTTTTTTTAAGTGCTTTATATCTAGAGTTGATAAGTTTTTTTAAAGAAAGAAGCATATTTAGATCTACTTACCTAGCATTATTTAATACATGGAGTACCTTATAGAATTATTGTAAGATAAAATAATAATTATTGACATTCTTTTAGAAACACTAAGAAATATATGTAACATTAGAGAAATCAAATACTCTCCAAATGGTAGTACCTTTCCTTGACACAAATTATTTTTAGTAATACCAAAGATTACTCTTTGATTTTATGTTTTATATTTTGGAGCCATGCTGTCAAATACTGCAGTTACTTGCCACATGTGGCTCTTTAAATTTTAAACTGAATTAAATTAGAAATCCACTTAGTCATAGGAGCTATATTTTAAGATTTAATGGCTATATTGTTGGACAGTGTAGACATGGAAAATTTTCATTATCACAGAATGTTCTTTAGGACAGCACTATTTTAGAAGAATGTTCCTTTTACTTAGTTAGATTTACTTTAGCTTGTTAAAAAATAGACCACTTTGCATTCCAAAACACATTGGCTTTATTAGGATGTATATGTGTATTTATATGTGTGTTTTACGTATTTTGAACATGTCATAAGATTTTTTTATTTGTTCACATATAGGTACAGAAAGGATAAAGGCTCGGAAACAGAAAAGGCCGCATTTTTTGGGCAGAAAGTATAAAGATAAGGAATTTGAAACTAGTATCCGAGATTTATTTGCTTCTGTTTGGGTAAAGTAAAATATTTTACATGAACAAGCCAGTTAAATTACTTGTACAGTTTTTCTAATAGTAGATTTAAGAAAATAACCATAGAGTGTTCAACTTAAATCTGACTGGGACTTTTGAACTCTTACTTAAGCTATTCATTTGATAGGTAATGGAAAATAGGACCCAGCTTACCAGCTTACCAAGGACTTGGCTAGTGTCAGAAACTGGCACCAAGTATTTTCCTTTTTCTATTTCTTTTATATTATTTTGTGTTTATTATATATATATATATATATATATATATATATATATATATATATAT